TGTTAGTTTTCGGAGGTAATTTTCGACCACTCTTGGGCACATATTGGAGGGTATCTCAGCCATAACTTGACGAATGTTTCTGCTCAAATGGTTAAGAGTTACAAGTTTGTCCTCATAAACATTTTCTTTCAGTTGACATTGTCAAGGCGAGAGACTACATGATTGAACGATTTCTCTCGCAATAAAGTCATACTTGCTCGGGTTGTGTGGATGTAGGTAGCTGTAAATTCAACAGCTTGTGCTTTAAGAACGTTCGAGATCATGACAATGAGTATTCGCCTTTCACTTACAGTAGCAACATTTGACGTGGAACGAGCACAGGCCTTACTTATATTGTAACTGATCTAGTCTCTACTAATTTCTTTAAGATTTTACCAATTACCTGAGTAGTTGGATGATTGTGTGGAGCATATTCTCTCTCAAAACAAGTGACCGTTTGAATCACTCTTTTTGTGGTAGATTTTCACAAGTTTTACACGTCGTGCGGTTGTTAAGCGATCCACTGTTTCCAAATGAATGACCTTTATATAAAACAAAACTTGATTGGTTTGATATTTATGTTTGCAGATGTCAAGTGTGTAACTTTGTTGATTCAAAACAATACCACAGTCTTAAAAGCTAAAAATGCCTTTGCGTTTGTCAAAACATGGTAAAAAGAATTTGAATACCCTTATGTAACTAAACTACTTAATATGACTTTGGTGAGGCCAATATTAGAATACGGTTCCCTGATATGGAACCCCATTTCTCAAGTTCTTTCTGATAAGTAAGTCTGTTAAAAAAAAATTCACACTTTTTTGCATTAAGACATTTCCGATGGGACTCTACCGATTTCAACCGTTTAAAGCTTCTTAATCTACCCACTCTAGCAAGTCGGAGAGAAATGTTAGGCGTCCTGTTTGTAGTGAAACTTCTTAACGGATCAATCTGTAGTTCATGGCTGCTGTCTGAAGTAAACTTTAATGTTCCAACTCGTGTATATAGGCAGTTTAGGCCTTTATTTAATAGTAATAGTCACGTAAAATAAATCCTGAACTGAATGAACACTTTCACCGCTTGTATCAAAATTTTAACGTTCATTTCAGCGCCTTCGACCTCTCAAACTTACTTTTTAGCATAAAAAAACTATTCTTTAATTAATCAATTTGCTCTGTTGTGTAATTATTTGTTTTTGTAGTTGCACAATTTGAAATCTCGACATTTAACAAATTCTTGCCGATCATGACTCGACATTTTTTCGTACGTTATGCGGATGTCGCTCTGCTGTCGGTGGGTTGGTGGAAGGTATTCGTTTGGCTAATAAAAAACGGTTTTATATTTTTGAAACCAACCTTTACATATTTCAAACTTACCGATTTATATGTAAGCAACCTACAGTTAGTCACTGGATCTTGGTTACAAATAACAACAAAAATCGTATATTAATTTTTATTTAATTTTTTGGTTTAATCATTGTTATTTTTGTGAAATTTATTTCATTAATTACATTATAATATTTCAAAATTCTTTATATGGCATTGCAACATGTTTGTTTCTTAAAAATCTCCAAATTTCTTATAAACAACGCGTTTACTAATGCCCTGCACTCATTTTTGGAATTAATATTTGGTTTACGAGTAAGCTTGTGTTGTTTGTGTTGCTTTATTTTCCTGCACGCGAGAATAAAACACAGAAAATTGGTGTTTAAAAAAATAAAAACAAAAAAAAAACCTGTATCAAGCGACTAAGTAACCCAATGCGTATGCATTAAATTATAATATTTAGCGAAACTGCATTTGCTTTTGTTCAAAAAAAAATAGTAAAGTATTAATTTTGAATATTATTTTACTAATACATTGTATTGGAATGATAAATGAGCGGAATTTTCAATTTGTTTTCAACAATATAAGTATCATACATGAATATATATGTACAGGTATGATAAATTAACTACATAGTATACACAATTTTTGTGTCTCAATATACATAATTTAGCAATTGATTACAATTATTAACATGTTTAAATATAATAAGCGTCTCTTTTTGGAAGAATTTATACTACTCGTGTGGCAATAAATTGTTTGTTTGCAACTACCCTACAGTGAAAAGCTACACTTTGACGTAATGAAAAATACAGTTCTGAATCAATTTAGCTGTAATGAAATTATAACAGTACATTTAAATTTCACGTTAAACGAATTATAACTGTTAAAATGATTGTGTTTATGGATTAAAGTTTTCGGCTACGAAATATTTTCATATTAATTTTGGCAAATTAGACAAGCGAAACTAAGCTGTTCGGATGCTGAGGAATAAACATTTCGTAGCACAACACAACGTTAAAACCGAAATACAGGCGGACAGCCTCCTTAATCTTGTAATGTAATTATTTATAATTATATTTCAAATAAATAAATACAAATAAATAAAATCGAAATAGCAGACGCTGGCTCGAGAAAGGCCCGAAAAGATTAACTGAATAGCGTGGATATGTCCAATGGTCAAGCGGTATAGTTTGCAATTGGCTTTTCCTGCAGGGTATGCATGTACATGCATACATACATATTGCATTTATACACATAAATACATATATGTTGAACATAGTAATCGTTCATATAACATATCAATTCGCGAGTAAATTATTAAGTTTATACATATTTCATGTGTTCAAAAACTATTTTTTTTTATTGGACTTAGCTCTATTTGGAGTCAATTTACTAACTATATTATTCAATTAAATACATTCTTATATATCGTAATATGTCTTATGTTTACGTCCTTATTGCTATGGAGTTTACGTCTATAGATAAACGAATTGCTTTCTTTAATATCGTAACAAAATTATAGGAAAGTACAAAAGTTTTGAGCATTTTCAACTACTTTCTCTATTTTATTTGCGTTTTTTTTTTGGGGTTTACTCGTTTTTAATCGATTTTTTTGCCCATAACTAGTTCTTTTATTTTTGTAATTTTTTTTTTAGAAATTTTTGATTTAGTTGTTTGGTTTTAATTTTCAATATTGCTACTTATATATTTATATACATACATACATGTAGGTAAATACATTCTTTCACTTTGTTTAATACAAATTTATTTTTCTTTGCTTCCTTTTTGTATTTGTATAATTAATTATTTGTCGCATAGAAACAATTAAGAGGACGGTCATTAAACTAAATAAATCCTATGTTTGTCGTTTGTGTTAACAATGGAATTAACTACTTATATAAATAACGTATAAAGGTAAATTCTTTGCTTCAAGTATTCTTACCTGAATTAATTTAACAATTGCATATGTGTACATTGCACTTACATACATGCGATATTGATTTGATAGTTATTTAATTTATTAGAGTACCCTGAATTTCTTTTTGATTACTCAATTAAGTTAACGGTTTCATAGTTTTACATTAGTTCTGCTTTTCTACAATTTTTAAATTGTTGCTTTATATACATTTTTTTTTTTATTATTTTCGTCTTTACAAAAGAAATTACTGCAAATTCCTTGCTGTGGGGCTCATTTGTAACAATGTTTTCAGAAAAATAAGAAGATTTTCAGTGCTTATGTGAAAATCTTTTAAAACTTTTCCGAATATCTTGATACGCAAGGTGTTTTGATGGAATTTCTTTTCGTATTTTTTTTCCTTTTTTGTTTATTTATTTATTTTTTTTGCTTTTTTTTGGCAGAGCGATCTCATCTTTTGAAAAGTGGTTTATCTAATGACACTTAACTTTTACTTCCCAGTAGACCGTGTTTGGTATAAGAATTAAAATTTTAGTTGTGCTTACATTTACATATAAAATTTACTAAAATTTCAAAAAACGGGGCTTACAAAATTTTGTTGTAATATATTTGCTTGCTCAATGAATTTTTCATTATGGCGATATGTGAAACTATCGTTGGCCTGTGTTCAGATTTTAAAGAAATTTATTGTAAGTTGGGGTTTGTGATATGTTTAACTGTGTCAATATTTTTTCAATACGTACGCATATATAACCACTTATATATACATATGTATGTACAAATGTATTGAAATAAATTTGTAAAACAATTAATGATCAATATTAATTCATACACATATTTTTCTATAAATATATTATATACAAATATATTTTTACTACTTGAGTAGGTATTCTGTTATCATAAATTTAAAGCATGTTGTTGGTTTGGGAGGAATTGTTTTAAATCATTTTCGCCTAGACTTATTTGACGTACCATTTCTGTTTTGAATATAATTTGCATGCGTTGTTGTTATAATTTTTAGGGCTTGTTTATTTAGGACATAGAAAAACCTGTGGAAACAAAACGGTTTCTAAAAGTTTACTAAAAAGTGGGAGGTCTATTGAGTGGGGGATTAACTTCGGCGATGTTACTGTGGTAATTTTTACTTGCCCTCCAGGCAGTCCCTAACGAACGGTTGAACTAGCCGAAAAATACGTTCCTTCCCTACCAAAGACGTGGTGATGTAAAGTCGTGTTCCTTCTTTAATTTCCCTATTTGTCGCTCATGTTTTGATTTATGTATAATTATATATGTACTCGTATGTGTATATGGATTAACATAATATAAGGATTTGGTATAAGTATGGAAATTTGGTTCGTGAAAATTCGGCATACTTTAGGAAGCCTCGTTGCAATGCTACGTACTTTGTAAATATTATGAATTATACAGCCCTGAAAAATAGATTCCACCAAAATGCGTATTATTGAGTTTGACGGAGCTGTCGCAGTCATAGCAGTTGCAACTAAGCCTAAAAAGCCCTACAACGTTATTCGTTTGGGTTGATAGGAGTAGTGAGATTAGGTAGACAACTAGACAGATATTGATATTCAAAACGGTATGGTTGACAGTGGATAGCGTACATGCGATCACTGGTGAGTACCTTATTCATTTTGAGACTTACCAAAGCACACATCCGCATACACAACAAGATCGTGCAAACTTGTGGATGATGTCATGTAAGTCAGGGTTCATCACTTCGCCTATAAAAAAGTTAAGGACTCTGCCTGAATTATATAAAAAAATCGGCCATTTCCATTTATTATTATTTTTAACACTACGAAAAGAAGAAAGAGGAGAATATGGATAGATAACCAAACTGAAACCGAAATTTTACATTCGGTAGGTGATAAATGTAATTTTTTACCATAAAAACGCAACTTGCTCAGGACTATGACGGTGCGACTCATCAACCTGGGATTCCTTCCACATCGCTCATTGGATAGCCCACATGTGAGTCATGTGTATCATCTCTTTATTGTGATTTCTGAATACAGTTAAATTGTCGTCCTTGGAACACCAACAAAAATATTGCAATTAAGCCAGATAACAAGGATTTTAAGTATTTGAAAATCGATAAATTGCACAAACTTAACGGGTTTTTTCCTTCATCCTGATCTCTTTTCCAAGTTTTTCTACTACGATAGAATAGGTGAAAGAGAAAAGAACAAAGCGACAGCGTCTTTCTATTCAGTTAAATAACTGTTATATGTCGCTTACATACTTATGTACATATATATATATTTCCACAAAATCTTCGAATATCTCAAACAAGAATATTTAAATACGAGTATGTGATGTCGCGGTGTGTCCTAGTAATATATGAGTATTTTTGAATGTTTGTTTGGTCTCAGTTGGCTACATTTACTAAGACGTACTCATGTGAATGTCTGTGTGTACAACATATTTTATAGATATTTAAATATTTGTCACCTTTTGAATATGTATATGTATAGAAAATATAGGCAGCTTTCAAGCTTAACTAAAATTTACTCATTTTTCACCAGTTACTTATTATTTGTTTTGTGTTGTTTTCTATTTATTATTTATTATTTTTAATTTATGAGAAAATATAAAACCTTTTATTTGCCCACTTTAAGACTGTTTTGGGTTGGGTTGCTTATGAGTTTTTACTGTCTTTAAAAATCTCGCAGTTTGGCATATGAGAGTAATATATGTTCTTAATGATAACTGTACATATTTACTTTTGAATTAGTTTATAGTGATCACGAATGTTTTGCTATATGTTGTAAATTCCACCAAGGAAATGTATTTGTGTTTAGTTTTTGCCATGATGTCTGTGCAATACCGTCCGAGAACTGTTATTAATCATCCTAAATGCATGATCTTCTTGAAGGCTTTGCGAAACTCCGGATTGAATATCGTGTATATGATTGGATTGACAAAGCTGTTGATGTAGCCCAACCAAGTGGTGAATATGAAGACATTTACGCCTGGCCGCCAGTCGATATCGAATATCGCGAAGATGGCATCCGCGACATTGCAGGTAAAGAATGGCACCCAGCAAATTAGGAATACACCTGTGGAGGAATGTAATAAATGACATTTCCCGTTTCTCAATACATTAGTGTAATTAATATATTAAAATTAAATAGTAGAAGAGCAATGCTTTCAAGTTCGACTTAATTTAAAACTAAATATATTTAAGCATTTGCCAACATTCATATTTATGCAGTGCAAATTTACATTATATTGAGTACAAGGATCCCGATTACCTACACCGAATAACTTCTTCCAGGATCTTTTGTTATTATTATATTATAATTATGTCATTTATATTTCGGAAGACAAACTATTGTAGTCATTCACACATCAGCTGTGTTCGTTGAGAAATGTCAGTAAAAATTGGACAGTAACGAAAAAGAGAGAGTAACATGTCTTACTCTCCCTAAGAAAGAAAGTTACTTACTGAGGATTCCGTAAAAATTAGCCAGCAAGTTGTATAAAAAACGTTTATTTTGGCGGTAAAATTTCAATCCGTTCATTTATACAGTTTTTCCTGATTTAAAGTATTTTCCTGAGTCTTGTAATAAAATTGTCATTTTTTAATTAATTGGATTTAAGATTTATTGTAATTCAATGATGAAATTTTATAGCCGCCCAACGATAAAGATACCATGTTCTTTTACATCCTTTAAAAGGTCGAAAATTTATATAAAACTTGCTTTGCAACAATTTGTCGTTCAGACTTTTAGGTTGGATGACTGGAATACGGAGAAGAGTTTGAAATTCTTTTTCCGTGTAAGCCATTTTAGCTCAACATCTTTATAGAATTTATACGATTTGGTTTAAATAAAAACCAAGCAAAAGCTTTATTTTTCCTTCCAAATGCTACTAATATTTCATTTTGTGCATCACCGTCATTTCCGGAAACTTAATTAAGTAAATTATAGATATCCTCAACCAATTTGCGTTGTAAAAGAAATAATAATATATTATAATTCTATGCCTTCCTAACGTCCAATTTCTCAACGCAAACTGGTTGGTGTGCGGGCGATATTCCTCTGCACTGCCACCACATTTTCGTTTTTTTAATTAAACAACATTACATTTAACCACTGATTTTGTTGGAATATCATTCATATTAAAGCATGAAAATTATTTTGATTTGAAATCAATTTTGTTTTGTGGTCTAAAATTCTATCATAAGATCACAAATCAGCTGTTTTTTATACTTGCTAGTTTTTACTGGGCGCGAATTTGCAGCTTTCTTTCCAAACTAAACGCCAAAATTGCGCTCTCTCGTTACCAAATTTTACTGAGTTTTTGGCTCAACGAACACCATTAAATGAAGTTTGGTAAACAATTTTACTGCCCACCTCATCAGCGAACAGAACTAATGGTATAAGTGTTAGCTCTGCTCGTTGAGATATGTCAGTAAAAATTATCCATTAACTAAATGTTAAAATAGCGCTGTAGCGGTGAACATTTTAAGGGTTTTTCACATCACCGATCGCAGTTCAGTAGCAAATAGCACCAATTGTTGATTTCCTGCATATTTAATAGTCATTTATGTGCATCCTTAATACCACTTTTTAGATGCTTTTATGTTACATCTTACCCGATGGCTAAGTCTTAGAATAAGGGTGCACCCTTTGTAACATACATACATATATGAAAATCTAAACGAAAACGTCATGTGATAAACCTGAGCAGTTATTGTACTTACCTAAAACGATAGCTAAGGTTTTGGTGGCTTTACGCTCTTTTTTCGCGGAAGACTTTTCACGCTTCTTTTTCGAAGCTTTGTGAACTTTGTAAATGGTGAATCTGTTGGCAGTGTGAAGAGATGCAATCCAAAACGAAGAGTGATGATGACGATAAGATGCGTCGTCCATAGGCAGCAGTAAATGTATATATGTAAGTATGTATAGACTTATTAATATTGTGTGAAATTACGAGAGCATAAAAAGTATGTATGGGAATGGGAGTTTGCTAACTTGTGTTTAAATGAAGGTAATCGATGGTCGAGGGCTAGACTAGTAATAAATAAAATACTGACTCAATTAAACCAAGTAATTTCAACTCACCGTGACGCTTGTGAATTTTTTTTGTCCTTGCGCGATGAGGTCTTCGATGTAGTCGATAGGGTGGAGTCGTTGCGAGCCAATGTCATCGCTTCTTGGACACCGCAGCGGACGAAAGACAGTGGCCGCATGGCAATACTAAGTATGCAAATTGTTCATCAGGTGCGTATATGTATTTGTGTGCATATTAATTAGAAATACGAAAAGTTGGCATGAGGAAATCACTTCATTACAGTCAATTTGGTGAAATTACAAAATTTAAAAACTTTAAACATAATTGAATTTAGACTTTAAAGTATGTGCATCCGGGACGACGATTTTGTGTAACCAATATTTCTGTGCTATTTCCCTCTCATCACATAAAAAATTGAGCACGTAAAGTTTTAAGTAATTTAAAAAACTGGCAATGCGTTGGTTATGGTTTTTAAGGCCTTACTTAGACTTTTCATATGTGTACCGTTAAATGTTGGAGTATATTCAGAAAATCCGTATTTATTCCTTCGTACTTCTTACAGAATTATGAGGTGTTCCCATAATTAAAGCAATATTAATTAAAAAACTGGCGACCGCGGTAGCCGAGTGGTTGGCATTGTGTAGGGCTCGTGTTCAAATCCTGGTGTCGTACTAGCATCCAGGAAGTTATAGATAAATAAATGAAATAAAAAATTAAGTTAAATTTTCTAATTGCGGTCGCCCCTCGGCAAGGAATGTCAGTCCTCCAAGTGTGTTTCTGACATTAAAAAAACCATCAGCCGTTCGGAGGTGGCTTAGTATAAATTGTTGGAAAAACATCAAGACGCATAACCACAAATGGGAGGAGGAGCTCGGCCGAAAATCGCTTTAGCGGTTACAAAACGCCAATTATTATTAATTAGAAAATTCACTTTTGTATTCATATTGCAATATTTCTGCTATGTATTTCGTTCTACGATTTCAATCTTTTTTTTGATGGTGCGTAATGTTAGTTCTCTATGGATGTTTTCATTGTTCCCGATTGTAATATTTGTATTATTTCGACATTCGTCGCACAAACTGTGTCCCATATCTGAATTCCATATCGGTTTTGTAGACGAATTATAAATAAGGACTTTGATGCTGCATCTTTTTTTCACAGAACCATCTAGCCGACTTGATACCAACGTATGTGACTTCGTGAGATTGTGGAATAGATACATTCTTGAGCTTAGCGATAGGGCATGGTTCCAGTTTTAACGTAACTTATTGATGGGCTTGCATTAATTTTCATTACTTTATATGCGCCATTTCTCTCGCCATTCTTCAACGAGTTTAAGTTGTTGATCTAACACTTTTGACACTGTCGTGATTGAATACTCTTTTTTTTATATTCATTTACTTTTGGAGGGAATCGCCCATAGGGTAAGTCCAATATTAAGGAAAGGGTTAAATAATGTTTGTCTGATTTTTCGAATAGGTGTAGTAGAAAGAAATCCATTATTTTTCCAATGATGGCGTAATTTATCAGTATCTCGCGTTGTATAAGTCCGATTGGGATTTCGCTAGATGGCGTTAGAAGGCTGACATTTCGTACTAAAAAAGCTTCTCTGATAGTTTTGTGATTAATTGATTCAGTTTTGTTGGAGCGTGGGTCAAAGATGGACACTAGCAAAGAGAGAATGCGCTATATTTTACAGTTTTTTTAGCGTTCGTGGTCCTGATACTGTTAGAGTTCATCATGCACGATTTCGGTTTCATTCCGATAATTTTGTTGTAAAAGATGCTTCATGGAGAGGAAGTCCAATTACCGAAAATGTCGATAAAATTATGGACATTGTCGAGTCCAACCGTCAAGCAAGCAGTGTTTCGGTTGACCTAGGGCTAAAGATTGCACAAAAACCCGTTTGGAACCATTTGCATAAGGCTGGATACGAAAAGTAAAAATTAAAGCCTTCAGTTTAATACAAACATTGTATAATTGTATAGCCCTGAAAAGCTTTGCAAATAAAACTAAAGCAGTCTAATTTTAGAGCCGGCACTTAGTAAAAAACCCGGCTTGAACTTGGCTATGAATACGCCCCCATGATTTTAAAATGTGGGTGGAGTTTAACGAATGGTAAACATCTATTATCCCTTTAAAATGTTTGAGCCTATTTTGAAAATATGCACCAAAGTTACAAGCGAAATTGCTCCAAAAATGAAGGAGTTAACAGAAAAAGCTCTCATATTTTTCGGTGCTGCTCTCTAAAATAATGGTTATCATAATAAATACTAAATGCCTTTTAAAATAGATTTTTGAAAGATTTTCAGTCAAAAATATAATACTTTTTGAGCTACAAATTACGACTTACTTGCGTTTAGTTATAGTTATGTGGTTTATTGATTTTTTTTTACTTTTATTTCTTATTTTTTACTTTTATTACAGTTATAAGAACATGAGCAAAGGTAGTCTACGTTGGATGAGACAGATTGTCACTGCTCCAGCCGTCGCTTCATGATTCAACGTAAGTTCCAGTTCGTTTCAGTCACTCTCGAAAAATTTTCGCACTAGGCTTATGGTCCTCATCTTATTGAATACTGATTTCCTCTTCGAGGTACTCATACTTTTTCATACTATTGGAATAATGGGTGCACAGAATATGTAAGTAATCTTCTTTTCCTATTATTTTTACCATCAATCTTTAGCAACGGCCCAAAGTGTCACCACGTAGATCACCTCAAAATTATTATAAAACCTCCTCCACGATTTACGGCTTGCTTTACTTGACAACCTTGGTACTTGGCGGTGGGCCTACGACAACAATACGACTTACGACTTACCGTAAACGGTTAAATTAAGATTTGTTCAACCAGATAACACCTTTCTAAGCTTCTACAAATTAGTTTTTATATTTCCTTTTCAAATTTTAAGCGAGTCTTAGCACTTTTCTACGATAGAGATAGTTTATTTTTACCCAAATGCGGCCTATTATTTTACCAAGTGTTCTTCAAGTTGTCCGCCGAATCACGTTTTCATTTATTTCCGTGTAAATCTACCATTGATTAAATTCGATAAATCGGAGAAAATACCCTTGAGAAAAGAATCGGTTATCGATTTTAAAGCTTCCTTCTACATCATAGAAAGGAGTTGCTTCCACGCCTCAACGGACTACGCTGGGCAACACCAGAAGTTTAGTTAAAAATGGAAAGGACCTTTCCGAGCCGTTCCGTACCTAACGAAGTTTCCGATGCTGGAGAGAATAATAAGAGTGTACAACTACTGGCGACATTATTGGCCTTAACAACTGCATCGCTACATCTCTCTTCTCCAAATTTGAAAAAAAACCAAGCAAATACGTCGATAATGAACAAGCGAATATCTTCTGTCACCAAACAGTCGGCGCATTTAGGTCACTATTGATTTCGTCTAACTAGACACCAACATTATATCATATGTACTAGGTCAAGTAAAAAGTGCGTTCGGTTTTCATTGATTTTTCATAATATTATAGTTATAATCTTTGTGTACATTTGCCCGATTTAAGTCAAATATGCGCCGCTTTGCTCGTGAACTTTTTGCCACCGAGATGCCCACTTCATTATACCCCTATCGTAGAAGGCTATGTCCCTGTTGGCAAAAAACTTGGAGAGCCGATTTTCACATGCCTCTCTTGAGGCCAACTTCTCACTAATAAGCGCGTTCGCTATGGACAGGAAAAGATGGTAATCACTTGGTCCGGACTATAAGGTGGATGCATTAGGACCTCCCATCCAAGCTCCAAGGGCTTCTGGCGCGTCACCAAACACGTGTGTGGCCTGTCGTTGTCCTGATGAAACACAATTCGGCCTCTGTTGATCAAAAATGGCGTCTTCTGGATGAGTGCTGCCTTCAAGCGGTCCATTTGTTGGCAGTAGAGGGCCGAATTGAGCGTTTGGCCATAGCGGAGAAGCTCGTAGTAGATGATTCCTTGCCAATCCCACCAAACACACAGCATCTTTGACATCGAAATTACTGGAACGGAACCTATCAAACCACTTTTCGTTTACAGTATCGGGCCCATAAATTAAATTAATTTTTTCAGCCACTTTGGCTGCTTTTTCGCCTTGATCGAAGAAAAATTGTAAAATACAGCGAATTTTCACTTTGCTGGTGTCCATCTTTGAGGAGCGCTCACAACGTACTGAGTCAATCAATCGAAAAACTGTCAAGGACAAACTTTTGGCGCGAATAAACACGTTTTCAACGCCTTGTAATACGAGATGATGCGTTACGTTACACTAGTACTATGGACCCAATATATGTTATTGGCGCTTTGTAACTTGTGTGGAGATGTTCGGCCGAGATTTGGCCGAGATCAGCTAACTTTGTACTAAAAATAAGAATATTTGATGGGGGCGATGATTTCACTCTTCTGCCGCTACATTTTTGTTTAACGAGTAACTTAATTTTTTAATTGAATCGTTAAAAAATTACACTTGGACACGTATCCAAGCTTTCGTATTATTCATATTCAAGTATTAATATTATATTCAATTTAAATCAATTTTTGTTTTGGGCCAAAAATGCAATGATCACAAATCTGCTTTTTAAAAGTAAATGGAAAGGGGAGGGCAAGCCTAACTTAAGAATAAATTTATTGAATATTTGGTTAAAGTGTCTTTTTACCTGAGTGAAGGCTCCCGTTTGGTAGGTGAGTCGCCAGTTGCGGTGTTGCGTCTGCTGCTACTCACACTCGTACGCTTATATGTCCCACTTGGCTCCGGGCTATCCGGCGGTGAGGAATCGGCGGCTGCTCCTGCAAGGACATCGTCAACGTTTGAGGGTGCATAACCAGAATCATGATTACCATTTGAATCGGCAACCAGAAGTTGCGGTGGACTGCTGATCTGCGCTACAACTCTTTGGGGTAGCATCAAAGGTATAGTTTCGGTGAAACGCCGTTGGTTTTTTCGAAAGAAATGTTCATCATTTTCATGTCAATTTTTTTAAGATTCAAAATGATGTTGATATTGAGAACCATGTGTTATTCCATGGGTACAGAAGGATGTGAACAAAAAGAAATAACAAAAACGTATTGAAACAACAATATAAGTGTGTGATTTATATTTTAAATTTTCTTCCTGGAAAACTACATAAACTGTGTTGAGAACTGAAATTTTAAATAAATATACTCGGCTGTACTATGTGTAGGACACAGAGTAGATAGTTAAGATAGATATTGATATACATACATGTGTATATTCATGGTCTGTAACTCAAGTGAATATTGGGATATTTTTAGAAAGATAAGCCACATATTCCTTGAGTCACAAGTACGGGATGGGTGATATCGGAGCTAGATCACGCTATTCTACCTTAAATGGAAGCTAAAGTTTTACCAGCTATGTATGTATGTATATCCCAGCATAGTCTAACATTTTGTAATTTAACAACGGGCTATATTTTCCAACTTAATTTTTTGTCTTTATCCTTGGAACTACTTGTAGCCCTGCTTCGTCTCCCCCTAAGCTCTGCTTGGCTTAAATTCAGAAAAAAAAAAAACAAAATAATAGTAACCAATTTTTGATACGCATAAGGAATATTTTTAACTTTTATTACAGTTGTATATTTGTTAATATAATAATAATAAAATAACGTAAAGAGACTTTAAATGCTCCCGTTTGAAGGTTGGTGCTAACTTAAACACTGACAAAACCAGCGCCATCTATGGGTTAGGCCCCGAATTTTTCATCGCATTTTAGCATGGTCTCTTCCACATAAAACGTTAATGCGTCAATAATTTTTAAGTCGCAAAAGAGCAAATACACTAATAGATTAAAGAAAACACTTTGAAAATGTGAGATGGTGACTTTATGATAAAGTTGACTTGTCAAAGCACCTACAAAACATCATCGCCATACGCCGTAGAGATCCTTTCAAATACAGACAGTGATTCTTCCATTCCATTCCGTATAAGCTTTGCGGAGTTACCAAACTCAAACAAACCGACAAAGAGGTGTCTTCTCTTTTTCTATGGCGCTTTCCCAGATTTGGTGCATGGTGAATATTTGGTCAATGGTTTAGTTAATCAACTTAAATCTGGGGCAGTTCATCATTCCATCGTTCAAACTGACGCAAAGAGACCGTTCTTACGAGAAATCTTTCTTTAGAAAACTACTGACGCCGACTAGTCAGATGTTCATGCCTCCGCATACTCTAGCAGTACAGAAATGATGAGAGACTTTGTTTGTCGAGAGAGGACTTTACTTTTCAATTGCCGACTCAGTGCAAAGTAGCATTTGTGGCAAAGAGTGATTCTGCGTTGGATTCGAAGGCTGTCATTGTTGTTGGTGTTAGTAGTAGAGTTAAGACAGATGAAATTATATACGATTTCAAAATTATGACTATCAACAATGGCGTGTAAGACGAGTCACGAATGCGTAGCTTGTTTGTTGAATGACAGGAGATATTTCGTTTTGTCCCCGTTCACCACCAGATGAAAACGCCATGTTTCCTTATCCAGTCAGCCATAGGCTCTTGCCTAAAATTTGCCGGAACTGGTACCGTACTGATAAGGTCTAATCAATTTGCTGATGGTGGGCTATAATCGTTCACACAATATGATTGATAGCACCTAATATGCGATATTAAGGAGTTTTATTCCACGGTAATTTGCGAATGTGAGGTTGTTCCTTTATGTGGATTGGGCAGAGAGTACTTAGGTTCTAATCGTCGAGCATGTTTTTGTACGACTACATTTTGCAAAGAAATTGATTAAAGCAACTTTGAAGTTCTTCGCCATCGTATATGAATAGCACGGCTGAAAATCTATCGGCCCTGCCGTTTGGTCGTTTTTAAAATGGGCGATTGCTACCCAAGCTCCTGGTGTTATATTTTCACTGCCATTCAGTAGGCTGGAGAAGTGTTCTCTTCATAAATTCAGTATACTCTGAGCATCTGACCCTAGATCGTCTTGGGTCCTACAAGAGTTTACTCCGGTACGGAAACCTTCTTTAAGTCGCCGTATTTTTCCATGAATTATCGAGTATTACCTTGTCAGTCAGCTTCTCAAACCAGTAATACTCAAAAATCTCAGCGTCGTTCTTGCTTTACTCTTCAATTCGGTATCTTCGCGCACATCGCACGTGTTTTGGTCGATATCAACGTTACGAGGCAGGTAGCTTGATTTCTTTTCGCAGCGGCACGGCGATTCTATACAATGCCGGTGACCTTTTCAAAAGTCAATACTTTCACATGTGATTTTACGTAGAGAGCTTGAAATGCTGCTCTACAATTATCTTACACCTAGTAGCTGACGAGTGCTTTCATAGAGCAGGAGTGAGAGTCACCCATCGGGGCGTGTGCGCGAATCAAGGATATGTTACAAAATTTTGCTTTGACGGGGATTGTGGCTAGACGTCTACTGGGGGACGGCGACGAAGCCTCTCTTCCACCACAAATCCGACACCAAATTTGCGTTCCCTTACGTGGCCGATTTAGTAAAAACCACAAGGCACTTCTTGGACCAGCTAGGCAGTGGCACCTTCCCAATTAAGAGAAACCCATGCCCTTAAATAATAATATTTAATATGCTGTCATTGGACGTCACAAAAGGGGGGAGGGTATCTCATCCGAGGCTGTTACCTATTTCATTAGAGAGGGCTACCTCTCTTTTAGCCGTGACATAATGCTCCACACGGGATGGTTATTGCTAGAGTAAACCAGCTATAAAATCGAGCTAAGGATTAAGGATCAAGGATTCAATTTGTCAAAAAGTAGAGTGAGATATATTTAGGCTCTAAAAACCGAAATTATATTATAATGAATGGAATACCCATTAAAAAAGTATATAGGGGAAATATTTAACAATTTTATCAATATAAATTTTTCATTAACGACTTGGGCCAATATAAAAATGAGCTTGAAGTTTTCTTAGCAAATCAAGTCATTTGAACAAATTTGGAAACTTTAATATTGATGAATTTCTTTTTAGGACATCAAACATCCTGAGGAGGACGCCCGCGGCGAGACAATAATACAGATCGAAACAGAAAAGAGTATTGCAAGGACTATCTTTACGCTACTTCAGTTCATATATGTATATGAGAGCGCTGGATATGTAAACATTTCACCATATTTTATTCTCCACGTTACAACATATCTGAAACTCAAGTCGCTGTTTTCTTTTCTAAACTAGTTAAAAGGTTTCTAGCAGCAGGAGCTTACAGTACAAAACATTCTCTCTTGCTAATATCTCCAAAAGATAGAAATTTTTACAACCCCATTCAAAATAGCGGTCGCGATTTCTAACGGATATCCAACATACCGGCCAACCGATCTCAGTAAAACACCAGATCTTCGAAAGTCAATCGAATAACTTATGGCATCAATGAAGCAGAAGTAAGCGTGAAACTCCTTTTCGTTTTATTGTCTGATCGGTTGCGTTGTTTTCCATCGACATAATTCAAGTCTTCAATGAGTTGAGACTAGGTTTAACCAATAAATACACAAATTAATACAAAAAGTTCACAAGTGCACATCTCAAATCGAACATTTAAATCAGTAACAAGAGTCGGCAACACAGCTCATCAGTTACATAGATAGATCAACGTTTGAAAACAAGCAATAGTGGTTTCGATGTTGGTCAGGAATTTGATGAAGTTTGGCTAGACGGAATATTATATGCTGTGAGTAACTCTTCCCATAAATATTTATGCAGTACCAAAAAGCTTTCTATTTCGGTTTGGACAAAGGATTAAAATATTTGCTGGAGTTTCCCAAGGAAATGTTTTAGGGTCCGTCTTATATTTAATTTATACAAGCGATCATCATCTTCCCGCAAGTAGCAGCCTCATCACACCAACGGTAATACTTAGACATTCAAACCCTGTTGCGGCCATTTGTAGATTACAACAACATACAAAAATAACTTAGAGAATTGATGTCGAGTGTAAATTTACTCACATGCGCTTTGATCTAAATGGTTATTTTAAGGTTAAATAACAACACAGAAAAGATTTATTACTTTGGAATTACATTTGATTGCGCAAACTAAATTTGAAAATTGCGGTTGTAGGTTCTAAGTTCAAACTAAGCTTGGAAAACAAACTGTTACTTTTTAATATGGTTATAAAGCTATCTTGGACATACTGGATCCAACTTTGGGACTCAGCATCTAAATCTACCATAGAAGGAATTCAAAGGATACAGTCTAAAACTTCAAGAAAAATATGCAGAGTCCCTTGATTCGTAAAAGACTCCGAAATTTACAACAATCTCTGGATTTAATTCTAATAGAGAGGAGACAGATACACTGCCCACAAATTACTCATTGAGGTTATCTAACCATCCAAACATTACAGTTAAACGTACATATATTGCTGTACTACGCCAAGCGATTGAAGAAAATGGTTTTAACTTTGAACTGCGATTAAGGACTTTGCCGCATTCAATTGTACTGCATGCGAGGTACAATAGTTTCCGTCCATATCTTTCAAGATTCTTATTACCATTTACTATATGCGTCTTTTATCATATCTTTTGTTAAATTGTTATATCAGGTGTACAACTTTGCTTCCGCCGTTTTCCGATAGGTGGCTGTACCGGCTGTGGCTGGTTGAAATACAATGATGATAATGTCTTTAAAGTGAGTGTGGACAGTGCCTAATGAATTGTCATCGCCGTTTTAGTGACAGTTGTTCTTGTTTCCGTATTATTCACGCTCGAAAATGTCCGTTTATGTGCCTAATTCTCGCCATTTGCGGGAAGTTTTACTTTTCTGTTACAATTCGAAAAAAAAAACAGCTGAAGCGCATCGAATGCTCTCAGAAACTTACGGTGATGCTGCTCTGAGTGAAAGAACGTGTCGGGAGTGGTTTCAACGTTTTAAAAATGGTGATTTCGATGTCGAAGACAAACATGGTGGTGGAAGAGAAAAAACCTTCAAAGATGAACAACTAGAAGCATTGCTTGATGAAGATTCGTGCCAAACCCAAGAACAGCTTGCCGAATCGTTGGGAGTGAGTCAGCAAGCCATTTCAAAACGTCTCAAGGCCCTGGGCATGATTCAGAAAGAAGGAAACTGGGTGCCGTACGAGTTGAAACCGAGGGACATCGAGCAAAAGTGGTCAAAAAGTACCTGGAAACGCTGAAATGGGAAGTCTTGCCCCACCCGCCGTATTCCCCAGATGTCGCCCCTTCTGACTTCCACCTATTCCGTTCGATGGCACACGGCCTGGCAGATCAACATTTTCAATCCTTCGAAGAATTGGAAAAATGGATTGCTTCATGGATAACGTCAAAAGAGGACTGCTTTTTTCCAGCCGGGATCCGAAAATTGCCGGAAGGATGGGAGAAAGTTGCCGGTAGCGAAGGACCGAAGGACAATACTTTGAGTAATATATCTGTAAGCACTTTTTCGCAATAAAGTTTTAATTTTGGAAAGAAAACGGCGGAAGCAAAGTTGTACACCTGATAATTTGGTATGTCAAAAGATATCCTTTCAAATACATTCCTTGTTAAAGTAATTTATTGGGCTTTGCTTCCTTTGTCAATCGATGCAGTGGTAATGGCTAACTTGTTTTAGGAAGACTTAGTTTTAAGGTGTTTAAATTATTGTTAGTTTCTTAAAAGAAAACTTTAATAAACTACTTTAAAATAAAAATAAGTTTTTAGATGTTTTTTTCAGGTCATCGTTCTGTTGAATTGTTTTTGGGTTTTTTACATTAGTTTTATGGAAATGTGCCAGACCAAATATTTTTGGAAATAGCGAAAAAACTACCACAGTTTTGAAGGTAGAAGTTAAAGCTGCTATTTCGGGTACCACCACGTTTCCTCGTCAGACTATATTTTCCAGACACCTTTGTTCGAATTGGATTCGAACTTGGGATGCCCACAGCACGAGGCTAAGATTATCCCATTCAGCTACATGTCTGCCGCTTCCACTTATTGTTGTTTTTCACTTTTTCCATATTACCTACATATCCACGATCAAGAGCTAAGATATTCTGTAGCTGTAGCCGCGATGTAATTGTGTTTGCGAGGAATTTACGACAAGGCTCTTCTTTTATTACCGACGTAGTATCGCCGAACCTGGCCTGGCAGCGAGAGTATCTAACTGAATATTACAAAATAGACATTCAACGAAATTCGGGACACCTCCTAAATATATTTCCATTGGCGCTTTGTAGCCGTGAGGTAAATGTTTAGAGTTTAAAAAATACCTGCCTCCAATTAACCTTAGCATTTGTTATTGCATTAATTTACCCCATGACTTGGCCTAAAATATAACGGTCACAGCTATTAAATTCGGCACAACTTGAAAGATATTTTCACCCCAAATGGCTGTTCTGCTTGTTTCTATTATTGAATTTCCCTACCTCTCTGTATATTTTCAGTTTACATACATATATCACATTCTATACATAATATTTTTCTTCAGCCTTTGTTGGTGCGCATTTGTTTCTGTGTAATTAATTTGCTTTATTGTTGTAGGTGTCACATTTTCACTTACATGCCGGTTTCCTCAACTACAGTAGCCAGCATAAATTCTGTAGACTTGTCATTAACTATGACATGACAATCATCAATATCCGGCGATATGGCGCTGCCACCAAGATCTTCCTCCTCTTCATTCGACCCCGACGCTGTGTTTGTCGCCGGCTCGTCAGGAATTATGCGAGCCGCGTGCTTGTCGCTATCCAGCGCCGTTTCGGCCAGTCTCCGCGTGTGCGCTACATTTTCAATGACACTGCCACCCGTCAGCTCGGACAGGTGCGGCCTCCGTGCAGCACGTTGCTTTTGTACTCGCATTCTCAGTGCCTTTTGTATAAGGTGAAAACAATAATCGAAAGTGTTTTGGGTAACGCACGTTGCTATTGAGAATAAAGTGTTTAAATTTAAATTGAATTACCTTGAAAATATTCCAATATAGGAAAACCATTATTATACAAGGGATGTAAAAACTCGACAGTGATGAGCATAGAATGAATATCGTGTTGTAGAAGATACAAAGCCCTGGATCGCGATCATCTGTCCTGTTGAGACCCAACAATATGGGTAAGCCGATAGCTATCGATGTTGCCCAGACTAGCAGCATCGTGAGGCAGACCCGTAGGCTGTTTCTATGTCTTGCATATTCTATTGGTCGCGTCACAGCAATATATCTGTAAAAATACAAATTGTTCGCATATTTAAAGAATGATTAACAACGGTTTACTGAATGCTAAATGTTTATATCTTTGTACATTTTATTACCAAAATAGTATGGAATATGTCCTGAGCACGTGAAAAATCTGACAGGGAAGTGTATAAACTCCAATCAAATTTTCAGTTTTAACAAATGTTAATGCATCATTATGGAATCTGAAATCCTATGCCACCTCAGCGATGTTTCATTCTATAGACCAGAGTTCGAGTCTCGGTTCGACCAACATTCAATATTATAGAAAATTTACTATTTCTATCGCCGTTACTAATCGACAGAGAATGTCAAGCCCTTGGAGTGTATTTCTGAAATTTTTTACGACGAACCCAGCGCTACTCACCCGCAGCCCAACCGACCGAAAGGCGCACCTGAAGGATAACCGTAAAATCAAACCGGACAATCTGGACTGCTCTAAACCCAAAACCGATCGCGATTAGCTGATATAAATTATATGGGATTAAAAGCTCTTAGTAAGTAGGTTTTGATACAGAAATACGAGTCAGAGAAAAGAAATAAAACCTACTCATAAAAAACTATCACCCAGTGAAATCTATGGATAGAGAGCGCGATATTAAGAAATATGTTAACTTTTAGTCAGTATTTGGTTGCATAATCCTTATGCTTCCACACTGCCGTACACCGATTTCGCTTCTATGATATAAGATTTCGACAGCGCGCCACTGATAATGCTTGCCATGCCCTTCTTACTCCCACAAAAAGGATACTTTTAACACTAACGAATCTTTTAACGTTAACCCAGAGAGTTCAAGTCTGGACTGAATGATGGCCATTCTAAGCCATTGATGGAATCTTCGTAAACTTTGAGGTGTGATTTGGACCGTTATCCTGTTGACTTTGTCATATATTGGATATATCGTTGGAAAGGTGACAGTCCGAACTATAAATCAAGCATAAAATAACTTCATTTTGATTTGAGTTGCTTAGTGAAAAGACGCATGGAAGATGGACAACGAAAAAGATCACATGCGTCATATTATTTTATACGAATTCCGCAAAGGAAAAACAGTAGGCGCTGCAACTAAAGATATTCGCGAAGTTTATTTGGACCGGGCTCCAGCACTCCGCACAGTAAAGAAATGGTTCGCGAAATTTCGTTCTGGAGATTTTAACCTCGAAGATCAACCTCGCAGTGGACGGCCTTCTGAGCTTGATCACGACTTCAGTTGCGAATAACTCACGTATTTCGACGGAAGAGGTTGCCAGTGAATTGAACGTCAACAAATCAACTGCGTTTCGTCGTTTAAAAAAGGTTGGGTACACTTTGAAGCTCGATACATGGGTGCCACATCAGTTGAGTGAAAAAAACAAAGTGGACCGTATGTCAACAGCAATTTCTTTGCTTCGAACCTTTTTTGGATCGGTTCGTGACTGGTGATGAAAAATGGATCCTATACAACAATGTTCAACGCAAAAGAACATGGAAACAGGCACAAGAAGGGGCGGAACCGATGTCGAAAGGTGGATTGCATCCGATGAAGGTACTGCTGTGCATTTGGTGGGATATCCGAGGCGTGATCTATTTTGAGCTCTTGCCAGCTGGAGAAACGATCACTGACAGCAAGTATTGTCTGCAATTGGTCGAATTGAAGAAAGCCATTGATGAAAATCGTCCGATTTTGGCCAATCGCAAAGGAGTTCTTTTCCATCATGACAACGCCAGGCCACATGTTGCAAAACCGACCCCGACCAAACAGAAGGAGATGAATTGGGAAATCATGCCGGATCCCCATATTCACCCGACATTGCACCTTCTGATTATCATTTGTTTCGATCGCTGCAGAACAATTTGAATGGAAAAAAATTTAAAAATGTGGAAGACGTCAAAAACCACCTTGACACCTTTTTCAACGAGAAACCGCGGATTTCTATAAATCAGGCATCCGTAAATTGGTTAAACGTTGGGAGTGGATTGCCGAACATGATGGCGAATACATAATTGATTAATAAAAGCGCTTTCTTCGAAAAATTTTATTTTAGTTTGCACTTGAAATCGGGCACGAACTTATGCACTCATCCAATAATAGACAAATTCTCCTCAGCCCAAGGCAACATGACATTTTCTAGTTTGACGACGTATTTCTCATTATTTAAAATTCCATTTATCCTGCAGAGTGGAACAATGAGCGATCCTCCACTAAGCTTCAATACGCGTGAAACATTGGATGAAATTCATGTTAATGGGCCGTCGAACATACCAGCGACCATCAGCACCAATGCGTTTATTTTTCGTTTAATAGTTCCAAACGACATACTTCGACTGGTTTAGGGTCCAACCCCAATGAGAATGGGCAAAGTCTACACATCGTTTTCTTTGGATTTTGGTCAGATGCAGGTTTCTTGCGTGCTGCTTTTCCATGAAGCCCAGATTCGACCAAATACCGTGCAATTATTCTCTTCGATATTTGAACAGTGAATTCATCCTGAATTCCACGTTGAAGGTTCGAGGATCGCGAGACCACTGCTATGCTGTGGTCTATTCCTGCAGAAATTTTCCGGGACCTTTTTTGGGTGCGACATTTGGAATCATTTCAAGATTCTGGAGGTGCTTTAAGGCGTTAACAATCATCTTTTTGGAGCATTCGACATTCTGCGCAATTTGACTGTATGACTTTCCAGCTCTAGGAAGCTCAAGAACAGCGCTACGTAAGGCAGGTGTACACTTGCTGCTGCTTTTTCCCATTACAAATCTTGAGATGAAAATTTTAATTGATTTTAAATAATAAATTTTATGTAAATACTTACCAAAAATTAGTAATATTATTACTAAAACACTATTGAACAATCGTTTCTAATTAACTGTCGTGCTTTATTTACTTTACACCTAGTAATACATGCCCAAAGTTGGATTATAATAATATTACTTGAAATGCAATACTACAAATCTGGGGGCATTGAGTAGTAAATGGAGTAACAAAAACCATGAAAATGGCATTTTTAAGAAAACATTACGAAAGCTTGCAAATTTTACTATTATGCTCAACAAGAGTTTCTTATTAGCTGTCAACAGCTGTACATATGTGTATATGTATGTATATTATTTTATTTTAATTTACAACTAAACGCTTATTGAAATTTAATAATGTAATTGTCAATACTTCTTGTTTTTATTTCCTTTAGCAAAATCAAATAATTGTTTTGCCTGAAAAGAAAGAATGAAATTCATTTCGCACACTTCAAGTGATTGGCCTTAGGCCTTGTTAACGGTCAAGTTGAATGGATAACTGGATTTGTTTGAAACAAAAGGGAATATCCTTAGGGATAGTGGCAAAAGGAATAACTTTTCTTATTTCTTCATATTTTCCACTAAAAGTAGTCGTCTCGATAACATTCAATATTAGTTTCTTTACAGTGAGTCTTGGCTCATTACCAAATCTGGGTGGTTATAATTATTGTTTCGCCGACTTTGACTTTGACTGTCCGTTTGTGTTGTGTATTCGATGCTTTAATTGATGGTTTGCAGTATAAGGTAAAAGTTCAATGAACGTGGATATATTCCACTTTTCCTTCATCCATATTTAGAAGACGCTTTCGAAATGTTTGTCTTGACGCATCGGATTTCAAATTTAGGCGCATACTGCTGGTATATGATGTGAACTTCCGCACATGTGGCCAAAAATGTCTTACATTACTGACATAGAGAGAGCTGCTGAGAGGGGCGTTAGTGAAAGCGTGTGTTGATAATATTATATGAAAACGACTTTGCTATCGCTTAAAGCTCTTTATATATGCGTATGCATTATGTCGCCTTTTCCTATCACGACCACATTTCGGAGTTACTAGGATATTCATTTGTCCATTTTTTATGCCGAAAACTTCAGACGCAGATAGGGATGAAACGATACCATGCGGCTATCGATACTTTTACCTCGATGCCGATACTGCTAGAAAGTATCGACACTTGTATCGAATTAAATGAATTTTATATATATATTGGGAAAAATATATTTTATTTCCATAAAAATTAATAACTTTACTGCTACACAGCTTTGGCGGAAAACATTTGGATGTGGACACAGCAGTAGCAAAAAGTCTGCTGTCGCTCTGGTAAAACTTAATATAACTGAAAAAACTCAATTACATACATATTTTTAGACAATAAGCATGGCACAGGTATCAACTACATGCAGAAGTACAGCTGATTTGAGTTGCTTCAATCTAATGACAACCTAAAGTGTCAAGCTAACCAGGTTTCACTTTTTCAGATTTATCTTCTACTCAAATTACATATCTCCTTTGAAATTCAACGTTTCTTTCTGCTCTCTTCTGTTTCTCGGGCCATGCGTAATATGATACTCATATCTGATCGACAACAGCGAGAACTTTCGGTTTTCATTGACAACCAAATCTAAGATTATACCAAGGCAAATTTACACGTAGTAGCAAGAATACAAAAACAAAAATCCCATGTTTTTTGTTTGTGTAATCATAGTTTCGAAAAGTCTAAAACGAAAATCGTTCAATGTATTTTGTTTGTGTAAACGAACGTTCGAAATGTCTAAACCTATTTCTCACGTATTTTGTTTGTGTAATTAGTTGAAATGGGAGGAAAAACAAACAATCATATGATCAGACAACGTTCTTTAAATTAGTCTTGGATTATACGAAACGGAACTCTTTATCTCGTGAGAGCCCTCTAGAAATCCATATTTTTTTTAATATTGTATTTTCCAACAGTATCAATCCGATGAAAAAGTTTTCATTTTGGATTTTCGGAGCATTTTTTTGGCCTTTTTGTGCTAAAAGAAAATTTTGTAAATTAATATTTTGAACATTTACCGCTATATTTGGCTTCAATAAATACAATTTATAACTTTTTTTAAATTTTGACGGATAAATTTGCTGTACATTTATTGGTAACATAAAATTGCTTTTCTGGCGAAAACTGGTGCGTTTCCATATGAGGCTTCTTAACAGTCAGCTGTTCGAAGTTCCTTCATT